TTCTGCCAGGGCTTTCTGGCCCGTTCCCCACAACATCCTGAGGAGGAGGGGAAAACAACTCCTGGGGAAGGAGCCACAGCTGGGTTCATGGCCCTGTTGCCTGCCCCCTCCCTCCCCTGCCAGGCGCCCCAGACTTCTGCTTCTGGTCAACACCCAGCCTGGAGCTGGAAGTCTCTTCCTGCAGAGCTGCCTGGGGTGGGTGGGTGAGCTCTTGACCCCAGGCTCTCAGTACCTGTCCCTTGGCTTTAGGCTGGGGGGGGGAGGGGAGAGAGGGGGGAGAAGCAGCTGGCGCTCAGAGCTTCCTGTTCCCATCTGATTTTCCTGCCGCTCCCTTGGCAGGCAGGACAGAGATGCCATTGGTCATGTGCTGAGGCTGCCTTAGCTTCTGGCCCTGGCTGCTGCACTTCCAAGGAGCATCTTGGCAAAGATGAACCTCCATGTTCTGCCAGGAGGTGGACAAACACCTGGTTCTCATCGCCTCTCTTCTCCACGGCCCACAGTATGTGCTCAGGCACCAGCAATTCTGTCTTCCACCTTTGCATCCCCGGGCTAGAGCTGATGCCTCTCAACAGGGCAGCTGGGGTTTCAGGTGAGCAGAGGTGCCCAGGGAGGCCGATCACTCAGGTTGCCATTTCTCCTAACTTAACTGCCATCACATTCTGGCTTCTTCCATGGGACGGTGCCCAAGGGGCAGAGGACTTTATCTAGCTTTTCCTCCCCAGCTGGGAGTCCTCCCCAGATGGCATCAGCCATCCAAGAAGGGAATATCACATTGCTGCTACTGTGGCTTGGCGAAGGGCCCTTTGCTTCCTCTTGCCCTCCTCCCAAGCATTTCCCCTGGTCCTGTCTCCAGAGTTAGGCCCTGGGGAGGCCCCAGCCCATAGCTTGTGGTTGACCCTGTAGACTCTAGAAGCTTTTCAGTTCTGGTTTTCCATGTCCCCATTGTCATCTGTCAACCACAAACCAGGAAGACGGCAAAGACTGGCAGGCTGGGTTGGTACTGACCGAGCAGCAGGGACTGGGCCTTCATTTGAAAAGTACACCCTGTCCAGTCAGTAATGCCTACCGAAGAACCTGAACTCAAGACAAAAGGTGATGTAAAGGCAGCTCACAATGGCTCGCCAGGTGTTTACTGCTGGGGTTTTCATATTTCATAGCACTGGAAAAGGAAACTCCCCAGTAAGCAGGATAAAGGAGGGACAGGCTCTGGTTAACGAAGAGATCCAGCTCAACCTGACTGTAGCCATCTTGGTTGTGGCCACCATCTTGCATGCATGCCTGGTAAACTCTAACACACATTCTAATCCCTACAGGATAAACAAAGTTGTTAAGATAGTCAGCCAAGCATTTTGTGCTGGCCAGTGACGTTTGGACTGTTTCTTAACTGATATTTGACATGTTAATAGTTTTTGAGAAAGCCCAGGTACATTCCAGTGGATCAAAGACACCATTGTCTAGCTTAGTATATAAACCCTTTTCTCCTGCCCTTGGGTGTGGGATGTGGGTCACCCAAGCCACTGTCCATAAATACCTAATAAATTGCACTCTGTACGACCCTAGATTTATCCACCTCTTTCTTTGATCTTCTGACACCTTCTGTCTTTGGTGGCCAGTTCTCCTATACTAGGTTTTCTCCAAAGAGGCTCAGTTGGACTGAGGCTATGTCTCGGTGCTACCTAGAGCAGTTACTATGTGTCACGGCTCTTTCTGAACTATGACAAAGGCCACCATGTACAGTGGTGTGTGTAATTCTTGTACAAGGACAGCTGAAGGTCAAGTAGGGGCTGAAACCCAGCCTGTGTTTTGCTTGGCCAGCTGGGTACCAATGGGGTTGGAGTCCTGTTTTCTGTTTCAATAAAAGTATACTATGGGCTAGTTGCGCTTTGCCATGGACTTTCAGTCATTTGATTCTGAACCTGGGCCTTCACCAACAACAACAACAACAAAAAAGCAGGGTTTCAAGCAGGCTCTATGGTTCTAGTCTGCCAAATGACGCAAATTTTGGTACAGGGTTCTCAGACATTTTCTTGGCATTTTCAAGTCCTGGATGACTTAGAATGAAATTTCTATGGGAAGGAGACACTCCCATAGCACTGTCTCTACTGGGGCGGGCCAGACCCCTTCTGCATCCAAAGTAGCATAGCCCTCAAAGTTTCAATGAAACACTCAGACTACTTCTTAGGATCTCATATAACAGGGACACATCCACAGATGACATGGTACACTTTGAGACTTGGAAAGGACAATTTGTTCTTTCAGTTTTTCTCTTTTACCAAGAAAAGAAGGGGTATTGGCATGTTCGGGGGTGGGGGGGGTCATAGATCCAGATTCAGTCTTGACTGACTGACTGAGCTCTCTAACACCTGGATCAACACCTTCCCCCCCACACCACCATTAATTAGTCCTAAATGAGTCAGCCTCGTTCCTTGACCTGTGAGCTGCCTAGCTTCACTCTGCCTCTGTGCAATTATTAGCCCTACGAAGTAGATGGTCTTCTTAAACATCTTTCCTGGCAACAGGGGAATGGCATTAGCTAGCCCTTCATTTAGTTTGACAGCTTGCAGATGAAACATTTGTGCAAATTGTCTTTTAGAGAAACTGAACACATTATATATAGCATATTCAGAGAATGCCTATCAAATTGCAAGGCACCTAGTTGGTTGGTTATATTGGATTAGAACACTGGGGCAGTTGAGATCAAATTCTTAGGTTCCAGCCTTGAGTTGTATGAGAGATGGCAATGTCCTACAGCCAGGGGCCATGTCCCCATACTTAGCTGTGTCTGTGGGGTTGCGGTGTTACCCCAAGAACACGGAAGTCCCTCTCTACCACTAGAATCCCAAAATATGAATACACCACTCATTATGGTCTCCTGTTCATGAAAGAGAAGCAGGGAATTAAGGACTATATTTTTAGAAGTTTGGGCCTTTTATCACATAAATGCCCCGAATCTCAGGAGCTTAGGGTATTTTTCTTCTCCAGCCCACCCTGACAACTTCTGTGCTTCTCAGACTCTTGGAGGGTGGCTGGTGCTTTCTTTTTCTGCTTTATTAACAGACCTTGGAGAACCACCGAGCCAACACTACTTCTGAGCTGAAGGAACATCAATAAACGCTCCTCATAGGACTTCACGGAGGCCATTCTTGCCTTTTCTGATACCCACTTCTCAGGAAAAGTAGCCTAAAGATGTTTGTGCACCTCGTCCAAGTACCAGGACTCCTCTCTTGACCTCAGCCCACACAGTCAACCTGAAGAGCACGGCTTTCCTGTCCAGAAACGTTCTGCTTTTCCTCTTCACAATGTACCTGAGAGTCCATGGTGCCCACAGTACATGCTCAGCTTGTCAACCACATCCCTGAGCATGCTCCAGACACTGCAGCCAGGCTTCAAAAGAGACACACAGGTACCCACTACTTTCTATCAAGCCATTGTGGGGCAGAGCAGTCCCATCAACCTGGCCTTGACGGCTGTTGCACCTTCTTGGTGTGGGAGGCCTCATGGCCTTGGAAAACCAACCATGAGGACAGATAAGGGACCAGCAGACCTTGCATTCTGCATGTTCTGATTTCTCATGAGGAAAGACCACAGAGAGGAAAAGATCAAAGAAGAGAAGGGATGAGCACCCATATTTTAATTACCATCTACCGGAATTATTGTGCGCCTATATCCAGTGAATTCAAAATAAGGTTTAAATGCAGTTCAAAGGCATACAGCTATGACAGGCAAATGACTAGGTTGCTTTCAACCTGGGATTCTTAGAATCTGAGTTAAAAGGATGAAATAAGGATACTAATCATATACAGTAGTCATGTTTTACAAGGACTTTCCTCTTAGAGGTGGGGAAACAAGACAAATTAGCTTCAGTGGGTTTGCACTCTTTGGGAAGGGAAATGTGGCCAGTCCCATGTGCAGAAACCCTGCTCCCTGACTGCCATCTTTTTTTTTTTTTTTTCTAGTTTGATGTTAATGGTGCAGTCTGGGTACCATGAACTCAGTGGCTTGTTTTTGATGAGTCAGCGAATGAGCAGGATTGAGTACTTCCTGTTCACCAAGTCCTGTGCTCAAATCTTGCCCAACATGGAAAGGGGAGATGGGTCTGCACTGTTCAACAGACCATGGTATAGAATCCCCACCATACAACGCAGCAAGACCCCTCATCGACTCTTCTCATCTGTTACCATGGGTTCTCTGCTGGGGAGCCGTGTGGATCTCTACCTAAGCTGGATATGCATAAGGGAAGGCCACTTTTCTACAGGGCAGTGAACCTCTAGCCTGTTTTTACTTACTGTCAGAATCAGGGCCTGGGGAGCTTCACAGGGCCTTTCCCTGGAAAACTACCAGGGACAATGCAGGGACTTGGCTACTGCCCTCCTCTCTTAGTCACGCTATGCAAATGAGGTTGACAGGGGGCTGCAAGGGATACCGGAACTCATGCAGAGGCCACTAAGACACACACCAGCTAGATCACATTGCCAGAACCCATGCAGCATGGCCACTGTCTGCACACAGCAAAAGCCACCTACACAGCAACATCAGCTTGCGACCCACACCAGCGAGACTGTCAGAGTTCACAGAGGGAAATTTGGATTTTTTTTTTTTTTTAAATGTGAGATGGTTCTGAGCCAATTTGTTTCACAGAACGTTCAATGGCCTTCTCCCTGGGCTGCTGCAGAAGATGCACAAACCGCGCAGTCCCAAGAGGAGTGGAGCCCTTCCTCCTCAAAGCCCTGAACAGCAATCACAGGCTGAGGCTGAGGCTGAGCGGTCGGGCTGTGCACCTTCTGCAGAGGGAGCTGCCTGCTCTTTCACAAATCCATCCCTGGAAGAGAAGCTGCAGACACTCGCGAAAGAAAAGGGGTGAGTTGAGGGGAAAGCATTGGAGTCCCTCCCACCCCAAAGACGACGACAATCAAGAAAAGACAAAAAAAAAAAAAAAGTTAAAAAAAAAAACAAAATCAAAACCAGAAGAACGCTGAGGGAAGAAAACCCACTCCACTTACCACACTGCGAGTGAACTTTTCTAGGGAAGTTCTACGACCTTGCTCACTTTCTGGCTTTAGGGGAGGAGAAAAAAAAAAAAAAAAGGTAGGGAGAAAATACAGAAAAAAACAAAACAAAACAAAAAAAAAAGTCTTCAGCTTTACACGTGGTTTCCAAACAGCAGCAGCCACAGCTAAAGAACAAAAACCAAAGCCAAATGGGGCGAAAAACGGGAAAAGAGAAGCAGCCAAAGCTGTTGGCGGAGTCGATGGGAGAGACAGGAAAGAAGCCTAGGAGCAAACATGCTGCCTCCTTGCAGCAGTGGGGAGAGGGGCGTTTGCTTCCCCAGGGACTGGAATCCTGCTGTGGGGCTGGGGCTATAGGATCCCAGGGACCTGGAGCCCTGGCTTTGTACAGAGTGGCAGTTGCTCCTCTTGAGCCTCTTGCTCACTGCTTCCCCTGGCCACTCCCATGCGCAGGAGCCTTAGGTGCTGGTGGCCAGGAGGCTGGGGCTCCAAGTGGTGACACAGAGCAGACTAGCTCCGAGGGCTGGGGAGGTGTGTGCGTGTGTGTGGGTGTGGGGGGGGTGCTGAGGGCAGGTCAAGAAGCAGGTGAAATCATCAACTCGTCTGTGAGTCTGGGTCAGGATCATTCTCTCTCTTGTGATTTTTTCTGATCAAAGGAAAGTTGGCTAACTTCAGTGACATCCTAATGACCCTCCTTAGAACAGCAGGGTCTGTTCATGTCCTTAGCATTTTCAAAGGGCCTGGGACCTCAGAAGACAATACCATAAGGAGTGTACTGGACAGAAAATGCTCCCTGTGTACCCAGGCGGGCGATGCCTTTCCAGGTACACTCTCCAAGTGCTACTGGAGGCAGGGACCTCCCTGGGGGAACTCTTCGCTCAGGTTCCCAGGAAGGGGCAAGAGAAGCCAGAGCCTGTGAACATTCTCCCGAGCCTCGCTGCTCTCTACTACAGGAGGAGAGGTATGGGGTGTGCCTGACTCTCTCCCCAGGTTTCCTACCTGGGAAGAGTAAAATTCCACCCCAAATACCTGCTGGTTTATGCTAGAGCCCAGTTCCGGGGTCCTGAGCCCAAGGCTGGGAAATGCAGACCCTACAGTAGACACTCTTCAGTGGACATGCACCTACACCCAGCACATAACTGAAACCGGGGAGCTGAGGAAGAAGGCAGGTGCCTGTGGGTGTGCAGGATGTACTGAAAGCAGAGCGTGGGGGTGCGGGCCAAGGCAGCCACCTGTCAGGGTGGATAATGTCGGAGGGCTTCCTTGGCAGCCGTGCCCTGCCTGCTCAGCCAGTGGCCGGAAGATAGATATGAGGTTGCAGAAAGAAAGGAAAAAAAGAAAAAAGAAAAAAAAAACCCCACAAGTGACATGCCATCAGAGTTGGGCTGGGCTTTCTTCTCCTATGAGGAACTGAAGGACCCATGCCTGGCTCTGGGAACCATACCAGGACTCGACTCTGGGGCTACCAAGGGTAGCCCAGGTGACACACATTGAGCTCAAGTCAGCTGATCTGTATTATGTACCTATCGTTCTGTGCCCTGGCCACCGAGATGTTACAGAGGGCAGCTGATGGCCTGACTTCCTGGGTTCCTCTGCCTTGAACAAACACCCCTGAGCTACCCTGGAACCCCATCATCATGGGCACTTGATTGTCCTGGCGTAGCCCTCAAAACCCCGTTCACCTGCCCCTACCCTCACCCCTTAAGAACCTGGTTCTTCAGAGTCACTCCCCTTTTTAATTTTTCTTTTCTTTTCAGATATCAGAAAAGAGGAAGAACTAGGGAAGAAGGATCAAGAGGCGGTGCCTCCAGACTCCAACAGGGTTACTCTCAGCAGAAACAGGAGGCCAATTTGTACCCTGTCTTGGCTGGAGGTGGTGACTGTCACATACCTAGTATGACCTGAAGGTTAATATCACACCGTGAGCCCACCTTTGAAACCACAAGGTCCTCTAGGCCTACTTGAAGGTGCCGAGTTACAAATGAGATCCATGTCTGGAGGCTCTCAGGAAGAAAGGGAAGGAAAGGCAGGTTTTGTCACTGCTTCAGGAAACTCCTCCTCAATGTTTGGAAGGGCATTGGCATCTGTAAGGGCTTTCTGCCCCAAGAATATCCCTAATTCAAGGGCTGGGAGGGCAATAGTGATGAACTTCTAGTGTCCCATTTCTTGGGAAGGCTGTTGTCTCTTCCTACTGCTGGTGACTTCCCGGAGTTTTCCATGGGTAGGGAGGATCTGCAAGCTCAGGCAGATGGCTCACTTCCTGTTTTAGGCACATTCTCCCTTTGTGATTGCACCTGCAGGGAGTTGGGACTGCCTCTGACTTCTCCCCTAGATGTACAGACAGACCCCACGGGTCAAACTGCTAGAGAGTTTTAGAATGTCCCCAAATTGTGGTCCGTTTAGATGACTTGGGCCTCAACAAATAAGAAAAACTTACTTTGACCTTCTCCCAGGAGATTTGGACTTGAGATACCAAAAGTCTCCATCACTGTTCTCTTTCAGTTCTTAAACAAATGACCATGAGAGCCATGTGTGTGGCGTCAGCCCCCTCCAGCAGAGCCCCTTCACTGACATCCTTCAGCAAGGGAGGAAGCAAAAGGCCAGGTTTTGCATTTAGTGACATGGTGGCGGGGGAGTGGGAGCTAGTCGAGCTGGGTTTCTGACATTCTGGACATTCTGGAAGACCTGTTCTCTTTCTCAGGCTATCAGGGCTCTTTGGAGAATTACGGAGGGTCAGGAGAGCTGGATATAAATGCTCCCCCTAGACTCTGGAGTTATGTGGTACCAACCGGATACACAGAGAGGATCTGGGCACATGAGGTTGATGGAACACAGAGAGGGGGTGTGTGACTGAAGGCAGCCTGACAGAGTCTGTGGATGGACAGCCACACATGTGGGGACTGGGGTTGGGAGGATGGGAGGGGGCAAGACAGAGATGCATGTGCTCCTACGTGACATGGCATGGAAATTTGGGACTTGGTGCGAGTCGAGCCACACTTAACCACACATGGGCCTTAGCTCAGAGCTGGAAAGCCCAGATGGTGGGCAGGCATTCTAGAATCATGAGCCCTGTCTCTTGCCTCCCCTTTCCCTGCCCTGTTCCCCTCCTTGCTCTTCCTTTCCTCTTCCCAGAAACCCAACTGAGTTCATCCCTGCTGTCGTCCTGACCCCCTGCATGCTGAGGGTACCTGGGTTGGCCCCCAGATCCATGCCTCCAGGGGCCACAGGGCGCTATGACGTCACCTAGGTGGAACAGGAGGAAGGGGCTGGGATGCAGTTACTTCTTAGTTGAAAGAACAGGGAAACACTGTGGGGCAGTGTGAGGGCAAAGAAGGGCGTGTAGAGGAGGCACCAATACCCAGGATGATGTCAGATGCCAGGTGGCCTCCCCTAAACTGACCGGGCAGGTTTTCTACTCATGGTGGGGCTGCCCCAATCCCTGCCTCACACTCACCTCTAGGCCGGTCAGGGAGGGACAGTCTGTGGGGAGGGAGCTGGACTTTGCAGTAAAGGGCTCTCTTTGATGTTGTAAGGGATTTTCTGGGGTCACTGTCACCCAGGCATTCCGTGCTGAGCTCCTGTGGCATTGGTATTTGGGCAGACTTCCCTCCTTGTGGGCAAACCATGCAGAGAGAGAGAGAGATGATGGGGACAGGGAGGGGGGATGCTACATCCTGGAGCTTGGACAAGGGTTGGGGTGGTGACAATCCTAACTGTTTTCCATTGAAGGGGAGCAGATAGAGAAGAGAAGGAAGGAAAGAAAAATAAATAAATAAAAACCCAAGGGATGATATTCTCATTTCACACCAGCAGCAAGCAGCAGGCAAGAGTCGATAGTGCTCAGGCAGGGCAAGCCTGTCCTTCCCAGAGATACCTTCTTCCTGGCCAGCAGCATGTCCTGGTAAGCATTGGACCGGAGGAAGCGGGCATAACTGTCACTTTTCATCAGCTTGTAGATATGCTCCTGGGGGAGGAGGGAGGCAGGGAGACACAAGAAAGAACTGTCAATCAACACTAAAAGCAAATTATAACCCAACTGATCACTTGTTTGGGGCAAGAAACCAAGGAACCTAGGTATGTTTGACAAACCTAAGGAAACTTTGTAACATTTCCTCCCTTTCTACACACCTATTTAAAAGCACCCAAAATAAGTAAATATAAGTAACGAATAAATACGTGAGTTATATTTTTCTCTTAGAGCAAGAGATCCTTAAGGATCATGTCCCAAAGGATTTGTAATGGAGTCTGGGTGTCATGTTGTGGTGTGTAATGATTAAAACCACAGGCACAGCAAGAAGAGGAAATAAACTGTAGATACACCCAACAGACTTGAAAGAACTGCAAAAGGAGTTTTGATGAGGGAAAAAGCCAATCCCCAGGTTATATACTATATGACCCCAAATAGAATTTGTCTTAAAAATGACAAATTGTAGAAATCGAGACTAGACTAATGGTTGTAAGAGGGGAAGGGAAGAAAGAGTGGTCATATAAGGCGACAGGAGGGATCTTTGTTGTTGATGGGTGGATCTCACATCTTATACATGGGATAATGATGTGCATTATTAAATATACACATGGATCTATAAGTACAAGTAAAACTGGGGAATCTAAATAATGTCAGAGAATTGTGGCCAGGTCAGTGTCACGGCTATGCAAGAAGTCATCGTGGGGGAACTGGAGAAATGGTACATCTCTACATTGTTTCTCACAAGTGCATGTGTGTCTCTAAATAAAAATAAATAAAATAAATAAAAATAGATAAATAAAAATGTGTGTCTCTAAATTAAAAGTTTAATTGAAATAAATGCCTCCCCCAGGCAATGATGTAGTTGGGTAAGTTTGTACCTATTATGGCCACTCTCTTGCCCTGGAAGGGAGCTCTTGGCAACCAGAACTTGGTCATGTGGGCTCATATTCCAGGCCTGAGGGTGGTATCCAGGAGGAGCAGGTGAGGCGGTATGGTACTTCTCCTGGGCTCCTACAGACATCTACATTCTGGCCTTGGCAGTAAATTTGACCTGTCCTCCAACTAAATCCTATAGGTGCCTGGTTCTTGCTGGCAGATTTAGCCTCATAAAGGACAGGAAAATCCTGGCCCTTGAAAATAGAGAACTTGTTGGTAGGGGAAAAAAAAAAAGGATTATTGATCCATTGAAGAGGAATTTAGTTCAGTTGCACAGGAAAACTGGATTGTCCCACGAGAGGACCCGTCAGGAGGAAGGGTGGGCCTTCTCTGGGGAGGGTGCGATTGTTAGCAGTTGGCCTAGTAGAAGAAGCATCTCTCCCAGGGTGCTCGCTGTTCAGCCTGTGAAGTTGGGCAAAGGCCCCGGTGCCCAGGAGGAATGCAGAACTGGTGAGTGAGGAGGGAGTGTCCATCTGAGAGGCAGGACGGGTGACTAGGGACCTCTTCCTTGGCTCTTCTTCCCAGAGGAGGGTATAGAAGGAAAAGGCTAAGACCTTCCACCAGTGTCCTCAAAGGTGTGGCTGGAGGAGGCTGGAGCCATGGTCAAGGTCTCTCTTCCCCGCTCAGAAGAAAGTGAAAGGATATTAGCCAAGATATGGAGTGGACTTGGGCTGATCTATCAGGGGCTGAGTGGAGAAAGGAACTGTGGCATATAAATATAAATACAGATATGTATTTATATTCTATCATAAACACTTAACAGAATACTACTATTCAGTCTTAAAAGAGAAGGAAATCTTGTCATGCACCATAACATGAATGAACTAGAGCGCAATACATTAGTGAAGGAAGCCAGGCACAGGAAGACACATATGGCAAGAGCGCACTTATCTGTAAATCCAAAGCAATCAAAGTCACAAAGCAGAGAGTAGGATGGGGGTGGCCAAGGCTGATGAGGGTCATGAGAATTGGGGGAAATTTGGTCAAAGGATACAGCATTTCTGCTTGACAGGAGGAATAGGTTCAAGGCATCTAATGTACATCACGATAACTATAGTTCTTAACAACATACTGTATATCGATTTTTAAGCATTCTTAGCAAAAAAAAAAGCATTTGAGGCAATACATATATTAAATAGCTTGATCTACCTGTACACACATGTGTGTACACACATGCCCTGTCCACTCCATAGATATATTGTATTTTTTTTTTTTTGCTACTTAAAAATTAAACTCAAAGTGAAAGCAGAAAGCAAGCAATGTCTTGGTCCCATGAGGGGCCCTAGGCACCCCAACTTTAATTGGATCCCAAAGAGTCCCATCTGGGACCAGCTTCATTGTTCTGAACATGCTCTCATATTTTCAAAAGCAGGGTGGTGACCCCACCCATGAGAACAGACTCACTACAAGGAATCAAGTGGAATTACACACTGGCTTGGTTCGGAGACCACTTCGGTGGTCCTGAGAGGTTCTGCTTTGGTAAGTGTGAACATACTGCAAGGTACATTTTTCTGAAACAATTCATACAACAATCCAGTCCCTTCTAGTTTAAGTGCCTTGAGGGTGGGGACGGTATGTTTTTATCTCTCATAGGGGTGTCGTGTCCAGTATAGTTTCAGACATTCATTGAATTTACATGGAGCTATGCTTTGGATGTAGTCTGGCTGTGTTTCCCCATCATCCCCAGCGTGGTATGTTCAGAGGAAGTGAAACCTTTAAAAGGTGAGTCCTAGTGGGAGACAGTTAGATCCTTGGGGGAAGACGGAATCACCCTCAGAAAGGATTAATACAGTTCTTGCAGGATGCCAGTTAATAATTCCCATGAGAGAGCGTTGTTATAAAAAGAACCAGCCTGGCCCCTCATCTCTCTTGTTGCCTGTCTCATAATGGGATCTCTCCCTCTCCACGCATACTACCACCCTGATGCCATCTACCACATGCAGCTGGGGACCCCTCACTCGAGGCACAAGAGACAGAGCTCTTGATCTTGGACTCTAACCTCCCAAACTATGAACGAGGTAAATCTTTTTTTATCAAGCACCCGGCCTCCGTTATTTTGTTGTGGTCACAGAAAATGCAGGAATAGACATTCCTTGGTTCACTGAAATGCTGATTGTGCTTGCTGTGGCTTATGATTGGGTCACATTCCTGCTCTCTGTATGGAAGGAGATGCAGGCTGTACTCTGCTTGAAGGAGCATGAGCATCTTGGCTCCCCCCTGTCCCTGACAGGCTCAAAGTCCTAACTGAGGGGCGTCATTGGTCTTTGCTTTCATTTGTTGTTTTTTTAAATTGTTCTAACTTTTAAATCTTAGGTACAAATGTTAACCCAGAGTTAAAATGACTCACTGTCTCCTTCTTGTGTCAGGCTTCGCTTCTGTCTGGCTGACAGAGCCAGGTGGCTCCTGAGTCATCTGGAAAGGCCTGTCCTAACATTTTGGACCCTCTCCAAACTCCTCTTCAGAACAATGGGTGCTTGCTCCTCGTTCTGTCCTTCCAGAGGGATCTCAATTCCCAATACGTCTCACAATACCCCTCTGACTCCCCAAGGGGAGTAAGGAAACCTCTCCTAGCCTGACCCTTCTGGCCTTGGAAACATATTTCTCTCCTGATACAGCTAATTCCTATAGCCTCACTGTGGGCAGGAAGAGTCGGGTCCCCTAAAAGAAAGACCTTGTTCATTGAAATAGAGCAGGATACAGCAAATGCCTGAACACTGAAACACAGCAACGTTCAGCAAATATTTAGTGAGCATCTACTAGGTGCCAGGCACTGAGATTACAGTCTGAACAAGACAAACAGGACTGTTGTCACACCGCCATATTCTACAGGCCAAGCAGACTTGGCACAGTGGTGCACACAGCCAATTGGACCTAATGGCTGCAAAGAAGATCAAGTACAGGTGCAGGAATGAATGTAACTAGGGACCGTCAACACTGTCAGAGGCAGGGAATGGCGGTGGATCACCCAGAAAACTCCTTTTCCAGGTAGGAAGATGTGAGCACAGCAGAGCAATGTGTCTCCCCATTCTCTGGGAACTGGGAGAGAAAGGTCTGGTGGTGCAGCTTTGCAGTTTGAGCAATCAGAGCAGGAAGGATAACATAAGGACATAAGGAGGGAAGAGCAGTGGGGAGTGGGGTCCCCACTCCAGGGTGGGTTGGTGGAGTCCAAGGAGCAGTTTGAGTACCACTGTCACCTTCTCTATGTCATATGGCTGACTCTGAAGCCAGCTACCAAGGCAAGGATGGTGTGTGGAGAAAGCAGGAAGTAAGAGCCCCATCTTTTGGAGGGTGGGTACCATGAGTTGGTCTCATCCCACTAACCCCATTGCCAGCCCTTCAAAACCATGAGTTCCCATTCACGCTCAAAGGAACAAAACCAAAGCAATCAGAGCAGATCCGAGCAAGACTCAGGTCTGACAAAAGCAGAACCCGAGAAGCTCAGCAGATCTCCCATGCCCCCTGCAGGGCCTGGGACTCCAGCCTCCCTTTCCCACAGCCTAGGGATTCCTGACTCTCCTCTGTCCAGCCCTTCCTCCCCCAAGCAAAGAATCGCAGCCTTTGATGTCCCCAGTTATGGAACTGTGTTCCTTCCTCCTCGCCAGCTTTGTCTAGGAAACACAAAGACAGTAAACAAGGGGGTGGGTGAGCAGAGAGCTGAGATTTTTCTGGGAATGAGAATTAAGATCAGACTCAGGGTCTTTGGCCATTTCCCAAATGCAATGAGTCGATCACTGCCAGGGACAGCAAGTGTACAAAGCTCTTGGCAGTGACCTCTACTGATTTATGAGGGGTTCTGGTTTGTTTCCCTGTTCTGCAGACAACCAGTCTTAAGGGAAATGTATACCCAGAATCTGCAAAAGGGCTGGAGAGGCACTGGCAAGACCGGCCACACCCCTGCTGCAGGCAATGCCTAAGGGGCTAGAGAAAAAGAAGTTTTCTCTTTTCTTCTTCTGTTTTTTCTTGTCTTCTTTTGCCTTCCTCTTCCCTTCTTTCTTTCCTTTCCCCACACCTTTCTCTGTCTGCCCCTACTTTGAGATGATCCAGTTTGACTATAAATAAGC